ACCATTATAATTACCTTAATCTCACAACGTTATGGTTTGATAAAGTGACCCCGGCAACCATATGGTTCGACCCCAGACAACGTTGACTCACTAATCTCCTTGTACTCTTTTTCCGGAAATGCCCCTGTTGGGTTCAGAATGTTTAAATGTCATCTCCATGGTTGCTATGCCGACGGGAGGTGGCTTCACACAGAGTGCCCTCAAACAGGAATGATTTTGTAAGGATTCTCAGTCAAAATGGAATCCCACAAAAATCACGTTGAGTCAGCTTCTTGGCTTCTGTGAAAGCCGGTCTTCAAGAAAAATGTAAGTGACTGTGTAGATGGTAACAAAAAGGTTATTGGCCCTGATTTTTACACGCATTTTGTTAATAAAATATAATTTTAGTAAGGAGTCGGACCATTTGAAAATGATGTGGGTGACGGGAAGATTTTTTTTTAAAAATGCAAGGCACAAGAAAAAATAAATAAAAATTCTTCCAGCCATCATGCCCTACGATGTTTCGAAATCACTATATGTGTGATTTTCTGTGCGTCGGTGGCTCGTCATAATTTCGGATTAAAGCCCTACAGTTGCCTCGCCGCGTTCTGTTCGACGTGGGACTCACGGCGACGTCTAGTAACGCGTGTAACATACATCGTTTATTTAGACGAAATTCGAACACGCGCCGCGCGTCGACTGTACCACTGTGCAAGATTGTATCAATTTCTATTCGCAATCCATTTTCGGGTAAAATGTATCAAATTTGCGTATACCGGCAAATTTTCAAATTTGAAGCCGGGCCGAGTGGAGTGGTAGCTGTGTACCTCTTTGTAAGGATGTGTGTTTTAACAACCTAATACCAGCGTGAGCATGAGGATACGTGTTTATAGAAGCGGGAACTAAGTAAACCAGGACACTGTCATGCTGGTACAAACCACAGCAGGTGAGCGAATGGGCAATTCTTAGAGAATGTTGATGAAAATGAACAACCGGGCCGTTACGCTATAATTTCACCCGTCACACACAGGGTCCGGACGGTGTCACAATATTTCTACAGAGAGATGCTATGGTAGAGGTTGAAACGTACAAATATGATCATATGAGGTGTCGCTATAAATAACGAGGTCCATCATTCCCGGTGATAATTAAACTCTCGAACTTCCGACACAGCTCACATCTCAGCTGAACACAACAGAAGTAGAGGCATGAGATGAACTGGACCGTACCGTGTCATCGCCGTACAAACGCGCGTTATGGATAAAACTGTTCCGACGATGTGTGATAACACAGTCTTTAAAAGAATTCTACAAAGTCTATGGCGATATCAATTTGTTCAAAACAAAAACACGGTATAACATTTCATTTATATTTTAGGTCTTGGTGCTAAGGGATAAGTATCACATCCCACATCCCTGACCCAGGCTCGTCTAACCGTCGCCAAGCTCGTCCTAAAACCTGTTCTACGCCAACGACTACGCGGTTCATTGTCCTTTTCGTGGCCGTAGTTTGTTATTTATATGTACATTCACGTTTAATAGAAGAATCTAGTAACATTGTACCCTCTCGATATTGCATGCGATCAAAACACGTCAGATATTACACCTCATGACCTATATAAAGTAAAACTAAGCGTGTAAAAAAACAGTCGTCTGTAGGCGACGGAATCCAAGCTAGTATAGTACAGTCCCATTTAGGAGTACACGCGATTTGGGACACCTGTTTTACCGAACGTATACCCATTTCATTCAAGTCATACAAGCTTAATTGTAAACATAAATTTATTTTCTTAAATTGACGACAAATTCACGTCTCCTGTAATGCTTGTCTATGCCCATATCATTAGTATCGGTCCGTAGTGTTAGAGTGTGTGGTTGTTTGTGTTCAATTAAAAACTGATATCCACTGTCATGTTCAGCTGTGCCCTTATCTTTTTCGTCCTGAGAAAAATATAATAAAGGCATAAGTATCCGCTAAAAAAGGCATAAGTGTCTGAATGCCGTGGTTAGCCAGACGTTTGCGTTTGCGTTTTCTACTAAAACAAAATATAAACATACAAATCAGGACAAACGTCAATAGCCTAAGTCCCAAGATCGATTTGTGTGGTTGAAACCATTTGCGAGATATTCTTTTCACCAGACGAGATCTGGTAATTCAATCGAAAACAGAAAAGCTGTTTAGGTTAAAATTCACGCAAGATGACAGAGAAGACCACAGCTTGTTTTCCTGAATGCGAGATTTTGTTTTGTATACTGTGTCAAGGTCTCAATCAACAGTAACGTCATACTACTTTCAATTCAGTGTATTATATGGCGCCAAATTCAGGCATGTAATTTTCCCGGCAAAACTGCGTCTAATGATAATAGGGTGAATACGTTGAATGGGGGATGCCACGCGTCACTATTTAATTATCCATTTCATGTTCGCCGACACAGTCATTCATCCCGCGAAATTGGCACGTGGGCACAGGCAACAATTCGCAAAGCATTGTGGATCTATTATACTATTTTGAAGGATTAAAAAGTGTGTATATGAATCTCGAATTGTTTTGTGTTTTCCCCCCTTTTGTTTTGTTGTGTTTTCTTTCTTCTGTGTTGGCATGTCATTCAGACTCCAGCATCGGCACGTGGCGAGGAGGAACAATATCGCAATGCATTGTGGATTTCGTTGTGGAAGGCCAAAGTTTATTCATTAAAATTGGTGTGTTTTTGTATTTTAGTTGTGCTTTCTTTGTTAGTTGAAGTGAGAGCACGCGTGGCGCTCACTATCATTCTTACTGTGAAAATGAAAGTGGTTGTCCCCAAGGATGTGATCAGGATGCCCGAAGGAAGGCCAGAAGGCGTCAATTGTTGCTGGAGAAATACACGCCGAGTATTCGCCTGTGGATGTTTTAAGAAAGCACACATTAACGATTCACACCTGTTGTAAGCGTAATGAAATTAACACGGTATACCGTCTAGGCGACTCGTTTTCCCTCTTGTTTGGGTGTTAATCGCGCAAACAGGATAGGATATGCCCCCCCCCCCTTGTGCGGCACTCATTTCAAGTCGTACCGTCGCCAAAAAAAATCCTACTTCAAGTTAGTTTTGCATTTATACATGTGTTTTTCCTGCTTATTAAAATATGAACGAAAGTATTTATCGAACAATTATTGTATTTGTAGCCCATTGTATTAATTACATATAATTTTGGAATATGTTTTACGGCGATCTCAACTTTAAAATATTTACACGTGACGGTTATATACCGTTTCAACACTTGTGATCATTTGTAAAATGCTCGTATGGAAAGGTGGTTAGGGAACTTGATCTGAGTATAAAGACGATAGTAATTAGTTTAAGCTTTTGAGGTGTCGGACACTGGATATGGCAAAAGAACGCCAGGAATTCGCGATTCCCCGCCCATGTGTCACGTATCCAGTCTGAATTCGATCAGATCGGTGCACGTGTGACAACCGCGCAGCATTGCTTTGAAATAACAAAACCGGAGAAGGCGAAAGTGAAATGAAAACGATTTTGTTGTGGCGTTTGCACAAGTAAAAAAGGAAAATTTGCATACACGACAAGAACGTGTATGCTTGTGTGTGTCAGTGGACCACCTTGCCGGGACAATAATTCTTCAGCGGAGAATTTTTTTTTTTCAAATGACAAAAACGTCTTGGCGAAGTCCGCGAAGTTTTTGGAATAAACGAAAGATCTTTTAACATGTCATATAATCAAATAATAATTTTGTCTGCAATTCGCGACCCTTTAACAATTAGCAGATTTAAATTTAATAATAAAATATGTTTTAATAATTGATAAAGTAAAATTCATAATTTGATTTCGACAAGGGCTACTTGAGTGGACACACCGCTGTTCTGACAGTGACTTGATATTATGCAAATGTCTTGGCAAGCGTCAATCGCTGATTTGACTCAACTCCGGAGTCGGGACACTATAGAATGCCGACCTGAGCTGTCATTGGCCATGCGAGCGGCCAGTGTTGCTCATTGACCATTCCTTACCCTCTCTGCACTGTACGCTGTAGTGACTAAAAATAGAAATCTCTGCCTGGCAACTTCCTCCTGTTGGTGTGGGCGCGGAGCGTGTACTCTAGCAACAAAGTAACCATAGGAATGGCAAATGAATTTGCATATTGGTTCCCTTGATTATCTAAAAACTTCCCGGAAATTATAACAGTGATGGTGAAATATAGAAATTAAACATTCAAATGCGCTAATAAAAATGAAATATAATAATACTTAAATAAAGCACGATCTATATCCGAAAATATCTTAGATGCAACCCTAGTTTTTGATTGCGAATGGATCTCCGTATACACTCTATCTAGTGCCGCAACGCAATCCAGGCCCTGAAACAAAAAAAAGGGGGTATAAAAGTTCTAATTGAATGGTGATGTATAGAGTGGAGAGAATTAAGAATTGATCTGGTGTTTGTTAAACATCTGGGGAAAATCCTAAAAGCAAAGATCCGTTCCCACATGATGCTCGGTAGATAACGGAGTATTGCTTGGCTTCGGAATTGATTGTATTTACAAACCACGTTCATTTTTATCCGAAATTCAATGCTGTGCTGAAAAAAAGACGAGCAACATAACCAGAGAATGAATGAAATTTGATTTGCAGCCCACCTAAAGTCGTAAAAAAGCACCTAAAAGTGGGGGGAAATGAAAAAAAAACGTTACACATATACACAACATCAAATTTTTCACTATTTAGGAAGGCGCTTTTTTCAATAACTTTTGTGTAAAAAAACAAACTGATTTCTAATTCTCCCAAGTATACGTGTGGAGGATTGCTATACATGTTGTGCCCTTGTTGACTTGCAAATACATACACAAAAAAAACAATCAGTCAACCAAGCAGTCAATGGTTCCCACTTCGACGCAGTACTGGGTAGTATGAATATTCATGTTTCGTTAACCGCACCTCTGAGCCACCTAATTTGCATATAACTCCCTATGTTCGTGACTTGCGAACGCATCAAGTTGTTGCGGTGTTGTGCATGTGTGTTGTTGGCTGGAAGTGTTGGCCGAAGAAACACCGCCTGGCGTCCTAGCTCTTTGTAACGCCATCCAGCAACCACCGCCAAACTACATTATTTCTACCTCACTCGGACGTATGTAAAGATGAATTTAGGATTGAATTGCCAATTTGATTGCTAGTCTTCGTTTTTTCTTCTTTGCAATACAGTCAATGTGTGATCACCGTACAATGGATCTCCTGTGCTTCGAAGTCGATCAAATCAAAAGGGCTTACGAAGATCCTGTTTTATTAAAAGACAACAGAGTTTTAGAAAATCTGCTATCGTCTGAGGACAAGTATACTCCTTCATTTGGGTATTTCAAATGGCAAACGGACTTGAAAGATTTCATGAGGAAAATGGTAGCGACTTGGATGTTGGAGGTCAGTATTGCTTTCACATGCGACATGAGACTCAAGTTTGTACATTAGTGTCTAAAATAGTTTGTTTAGAAGGGTAAATCTCGTTAGATTTCTCAAAAAATCGCACTGTGTTGAATTTAGATGTGTTAAATATATGAACCAGTCGATTCGATCATTTTGGGTACTTTCTGTATTTTTTGAACAATTTTTGAAAAAAATAATACATTTGGCCATTGTGTGCGAACATGGTGTGTCTGCTATCTCACAACACCGTGCGTTGGTTAGCGGTTGATTTCATCACTAAACGTCAACGCTGATTAAATAGCAACGTTTCAAATGAATATACAAGACATTGATCTTTGATTTGACGGAGGAATTTTAAAAATCGGTTGTCGCCTTAATTTTTTATGAATTTTTGAAAACGCAATATGAAATGCTGAATGTTAGGGTGGGTTCGGGCAATACAAAGGCGCATACCATTACACAGAGCAGTGGGGCTTTGCTGGTGGCGTGGCATGCCTAAGCATTCCAGCACCAATTAACAGAGTGTATCCGTCTTTCTTTTTAATTTCTAGGTCTGCGAAGAACAGCAATGCGAAGAGGAAGTTTTTACCCTTTCTATGAACTATGTTGATCGGTTTTTATCCGTGACGCAAATGAAGAAAAAATACCTTCAACTTCTTGGAGCAGCATGCATGTTCCTGGCATCCAAACTCAAAGAGACTCTACCACTGACGGCGGAAAAACTATGCATTTACACAGATCACTCAATTACATGTGACGAACTCTTGGTAAATGAAGCATTCATTTTCCGCAAAAAAGTTTTATCAATTTTAATTAATCAACGCGATTGGTTATGTATACCATACAGTGTATTGGAATGTCGTTAAAATCTATTGTGTGGTCTGTGAAGGCCCTTCATGTCAGTAAAGTACCACATGTTCAGCGAAGCCCTTATCTGTGTTTTCAATAGTGGGAAATGTTCGATATCCGATTGGCCTGGTGTTGTGGCGGTATAAACCAAAATAAGATATCATGTTTCATTTTAAGTTAAAAAATGGAAATTGCAATCTGATTGTGTTTTACTTTGCTAATTTTGGAGTTTTTTGTTGCAATTTAAATTATAACCTAGTTTGCTACTGAGTCAGTTAATTACCAGTACTATACACAGTTGGGCTAATGATAGTTTTTTGGCCGATCAAGTTACAGCCCCCGACTTTAGTTAAGAAGATTTGTCTTATAAGTTGACATAAATTTGAATTATTTTGTTGGTTTTGATTCTCAAATTTAATGTCTAACTTTTTTTTATTTTTATGACTGTTCAAAATGATAAATTACACCTATAAACCTATATATCCCTGTTTCAACAATTATGTTAATCCAACATTTCCTTTTGTTGCTATGGATCAATGGATAATTCCTTCGGTTAAGCTGGGTATTTATCAACTTTTCAAAATCACGTTTCCTTTTGATAATCTTGAATAATACTTAAATATTCCACAAAATTTAAGTTTTACTAAATTCATGAGTGATTAATTTTTTTTTAAATGAAATCTACAAGTTTGTGATTTCTCAATAGTTTTTCTAATCTAATCAAACTTTCCTGGAGACTGATTTAGATTTATCGTGAAATGATGTAAAACAAAGCTTAAGTTAGATTTTCAAGATGTGTTGGTTTGGTTCATGGTTCACTTGAATGCATGAATATAAAAAGCAGACTTAAAATGCTTGGCTGTATTTGTTTATGTATTTAGTTTTTGGACAAGTTGAAGGTTGAAACTTGCAAAGGCATAGACATATATGCCTCCAAGCAGATTAAATTACAACTAGTTTTAAACACTTTTTAACTTGTTTATAAAAGTTATACAAAGATTCATTGGCTGATAAATTGAAACTTTCAAATATTTTAGCCAATCAGATTGCAATTCTCACATGCTGTCTTTGATACGACTATCATCATTGGTTGTTTTTGTGAAAACATTAACCTACAGTAGAGAGTTGAGCTGTTTGCTGACGGTATTTTACCATTTCTACCCTAGGACATGGAACTGCTTGTATTGACCAAACTTAAATGGGATTTGTCGGCCGTCACGCCTCATGACTTTCTTGAGCAAATTCTCAGTCGATTACCGCTTGATAAAGACAATAGTGACGTGGTCAAGAAGCATTCACGAACATTTATCGCACTTTGTGCAACAGGTTGGTTTGTTTGTAGATTATTTTCTCCCCCTGCTTGAGAAGTGTTTAATGTACCCAGCGATTACAACAAAATCACTGCAGTGTAAATATATTTCAAGTGAAATGTAACACCATTATAGTATTGTTAAATATCAAGTAGTTTTTTGCATCAAAGATGTTTTGTATCATATGAATTCACTTATAAAAAATCAATGCACAATATTTAGGTTTTATTTAAAGTAAACAAAATAGAACACAATTTACAACTATCATGATTGCCAGATTGTGTCTATAGTTATGGAGCTGTTTTGTGCAATTTATGTTAATTGCATTAATCAGAAGTACACCTAATTACTGTAGTCTAATTAGTGGAAAAGTGATACAATTGATACATTGTAATAATTCAAGTTCAAAATCACGGCATGATGTAAAACAAAGAGTGACTTTGATTTTGATAAAACCTTGGTACCTCTCTTGTCTATTCAAAACTCTGTGCTGCCTGAACAACAATTTAGTGTACAGTTGGTTTAGTGTCTATAAAATGGTGACTGGCTATTGAAGTATTTTGAGTGTTTTCATTGACAATGATGACCAGTTATCTCTGATAAATTAGACCATCATTGTTGGCATGGTTATTGGAATTTATATTACCCGTACACTGTCACGGATGTTAATTGCTGTCTATGAAATAAATCTTCTTGTGAAAGACGCTAAATCGAGTGTTCATTTTTGCCAGCATTTTTTAAATGTGTATTTGTTTTATTTATTGACAGATTACAGGTTTGCAGTTTACCCACCGTCCATGATAGCTGCAGGAAGTATTGGCGCTGCAATACATGGTTTGAATGATGTCCACTCACAATGCAAATCTTACACAAATATTACAGAACGTTTACAAACTATTACAGCAATCGATTCGGTAAGTTTGCTCCGTACAACTCTAAGTATCGTTGGTAAAAATGTAGTGTAACCAAAATGTGTCATAAACCGCTCAAACAACGCAAGTTACGACTTTTGATTCGTTATGAAATAAAGAAAGCTTTCGTTGTTCTTCAAAACCGCGTTATTTTTTGTTAGGTTTGGAAACCTGCTGGTTATGTCATGGCATGCATATTGTACAGTTGTAACTGCTTCACCTCGTTTTGTCTGATTTGAGAATATCACAGCTGGTTTTTAAAATCCCTACTGAGCTGCGATATAAACATTATTGTGTTTGTAGCAATGGCTTATAGTAAGCCATAGTGTGAATGCATTTCATCCTGTTTTGAAATGCAGTGTTGATTAGAGAAGGTGTTAACCCATTAGCATTCAATATACAAACAGTCAGTGAATTGTATAATCTTCTTCCTTCTCTAAAAGATAGGATAAATCTAAAACTATGGTGTTTTCAGTGATAATCATAATTTAATCCAATACATAACAATTATTACGGTGTTGTAGTACATATCTTTTTTTTAAATGTTTTGTGCTAGGCGACAGTTTCGAACATTGACTGTCTCTCCTGACTAGTGCTGACACATAGTGCATTTTTGTCACAGAAGCCCTATTCATGCTTGGGACCAAATGACAGGGCTGTGCGATCCTCCCCCAATCAAATGGCAATTCAATGCGCTATCCTGGTGTCAACCATGCCTGGTCTCACACAAACAGACCTTAACCAATTGTTCCTTCAAAGTCGTGAATGAATCTCAGCCAGTGGATTTTGCTTTTCTGTTGAGTCTGTGGCACACTCATCCAGGGTAAGGGGTCAAACCTTTTTTGTATTCAGCCTAAGGTAGGATTTGAACTTGGCTTCTACCGACCGACCGAGTCTGATGCAACAACCACTATGCTACCAGTTAGTCGTACATATCTTAGCGTCTTGGACTTTATATTAGATTAAGGTGAAAATGAGGAATTCAAGGGAGTTGTTCCACACCCATTCAGGCCACTGCATATAGCACACCTACTCATATTAAGCATGTGGGTGACAGAATTTTTTCCATGTCCTAGTTTCGCTTTGTGCAAAATGCTTCAACTCGTGGGTGATCTTGTTCACACTTTGTAGCGATGAACTGCTTAGATTTTATTTCAATTTGAGAAATCTGTACTGTTTGTCCAAAAAGCAGAGTGCTGTTGAAAAAATGTGCATCTTTATCACAAATGAATATCCTGTCCCAAAATGAGAAAATTGTTCGTGGGAAGTGGTTTTGATTAAAGGGCATTACGTGTGTTGGCCAATGAATTCAGTTTCTAAAATCTGAATTGTTCGTTCTCGCATAATCTCGTCTTGTCTAAAGCCGATCACATGCTTCAAGGAAGGCATTAGAGGATGCAATCATTTTGGGTTTGTTTTTCCACTAGTTACTTTACATAAAAATAAAATGTATTTTCTCCACCTTAATTAATTAATTGACGTATTCTTTTTTACTGTTTGCATTTGTTGTCAGCCTTGTTGTATAACGCAGTCATGACCTTTCTTAGTAGTTACCGCACTTGTACATTTCTATGTCCGTTGTCCTTGTGGTTTTCATTATAGATTCTTTTCATGAGGTATTTAAACTAGAAACAATGTCTGTTTCACCACTTTTATTAATCCCTTAGACAAAGGTGTGTGTGAACTACATTCACCAATGTCCAGTCCTGTTAAATCAGAATTGTAACTGGACAACACAATTGCTAATGTGTGTGCCAATTCTTACGATCTGATTATGACTGATCTGTGATCAGTTGATGTCCCAAGAGACGTAATGTCTCACATTTCACCCTGGAATGACATTGCTATCACAAATCTTGTATTGAAATGCTTTTGACGATACATTGATAAGGTTGACATTAAAAAATAGGGATTCTCTCTGTTCGGGTTGAATGCGAATATACCTTTCCCGAATCAGATTGTTCATTAAGTTGGACCTGTCCTATCTGCGTGTTTACTCCCCACCCATCCTATGCCACTACTCTGATAAAACTTATCAGTTCTGTATCTTAAAACCACTTGAAATCATTGTGACCCATATATACTGCTATTTTGGTAATGGATAACTGATTTCTTGGAATTGAGTTACACTATCTCTGCTCTGTTCAAGGTCATTATAGGTCAGTTGAGCAGGTATTTTAATGTCAGTGTCTGACTTGTAAAAGAATAATTTATTTTAAAGGTCCATTTGACCAATCAGATGCCGACGCTGCTTAACCGTTGGGTTGTCCCTCAGACATGCATTGCATTTGGTATGAGTGTGTGTCTCTATTCTTCTTCATCTTTTCATTGACCGCTCCTTTTGTTAAATACTTCCGTTCTGCATCAAGAGATTAATAGAAACGAACCACCATTACAAAAAGTCTGTGTAGTCAGTACACAATTGACCTATATCACGCTGTTGTCTCTATTTTTAGGCTCAGTAACTTCAGGTACCTGTTAGTGGGTGACCATTCATTTGTCAGTGGTCACTCATCGGCCAGAGGCCGTACTTTGAATGGTTAATCAAAATTTTGAATACATTCCTCTGTGTTCTCTCAAGCCAATAACTGAGAACTCACAGGAGTCTGTAAGTTCAAACAGCGGCCACTACGCTCTGGTGCATAGGTGAACACACCACTGGACTCAACATGCAGTAAATATGGTCAGTTTATTCCCACAGGCCGCTGTATGTAAATTGTATACAGACCCACTACGCAACTAATGTTAACGGCCTAACTGATCACAGAGGTATGATGTGATGATTAAGGCACATTGGTAATAAATTCTGAAATACTCAGCTGCTAACATTTGAAGGCCATACATATCATAGCCTGGTTCCTTTCCAAACATATCCAGTATCGACTGGTGGCTGCCAATCTACCGCTGCTCTAATATTGTTAAAAACCCACCACTGTATTTTTCGTTTTTTCTGTTAGGAGTTGAAGTTTATGAAAAATGAGGGATAATTTTGGTTTAAAACTTTCTCATTCTTTGTGTGTTTGAGGGCTGTCCAGCTGCAATGCATTGACCGAAAACCAGAGAGATAGTAGAAAAAAAATGCAAATTTTATATTCTTGTACATAGTTCGGAAGTTTTTTATTTTTTCTCTTGATGTTGTAGCTGTAGCTTTTCTTCATCAAATGTTTTTGGTGTTATTTTTTAAAGTGTTATTTTCTCTGGGCAAATTTTTGTTTTTTTAAAATATACCACCATTATCTTACATGCATTCAGTCCTAGTCTTGTAGCTGGTGTTCTTACTTTTAGGCGTGGAATATACGATTTTGTTAGAGGGGTGGCTGGGTGTGGTTCATGGTAGACATATTCGAAGTTATGCAGAACAATTTGAAGTGGTCCTTTGTGAGTTCAGAATGGCTTTCGTTTGTAAGAATTTCCCTACTCCACATTATAAGGACAAAATAACACTAGCATAATGTCATTGGTTTAATGCTACTGTTCTTTTCTTTACTAACAAAGGATGCAACAAAACACGGCAATTAAAAAATGTGGATATCAGTTTTCGGTTTATGAAAGAAGACTCCATTTTGTTACAGTGCTTTATTCTGTGGTCTTCATGCTTGTCTTGTTTTAGGTACAGCCAGCCTTACTTGGCCACTCATAATAATACTCGTGTTTACCGTCTTACCATATTGTCATGCATCAATAATATTTCTTCCCATTCATTAAAATTAAATTTAGTTAAAGCAATTTTTTCTTATTCTTTCCTTTCAAACAAAAGTATTATTTATCATCTGTTTTTCATGTACGCTTCAAAGTTTTTTAAAGTTCACAAATCTAGTTTTATCATAGAGTAACAAATTTAAATTTTCAAATGGCCTAGTGTTTATTATTCCAGTGCTCTTATATTGTAGGCTCTTTGCCCTTTGACCTTGCAAATATTTCTCTAACCACTTTTCTGGTGTCAATTACACTAACAAGAAAAGCTGAGATTCGGCATATTTTGGAGTTCAGCAGAAGCATTCATTGTTCAAATCACTGAAAACCCATCATAGTTTTGGTTCAATAGTTGAGTGGTCTACAATTGTCCATGGTGTTTCATCATAATGGCATTTTGATTCAATCTAAATAAAATTGTTAGAAAAAGTTATAAAAACAAATTTGTTTTTATTGTGATCTTAGGTAATAATGTGCAACACTTTAATACTTTGCAAATTATGGAAATGTAATTTGCTAAATGAGTGTGAGTAAATAAATAGTATTTTAAGACTGATTTTTCTTGTGACTGTAAACTATGTGTTTACATAAATCAGTCAAGATATTCTAAAAAAAAAGCTAATGATGTGACTAAAACAGAAAAGACAGAAGCTGTAAAATATATTAACTAATTTAAAATTCACCCTCAGTTAAGGATTAAATGGGGGTTAAAATCTTGTTTAGGTTATGCGAGATTAATTAAGATTAAACTAACCAAAGAATGCACTCAGTACACTGTGTGAAAATTACCACTACCATGTGTGTGGCCAGTATATCAATTCACCCACACCCAGATTAGGTTACAGTGGCGCCCTCAATAGTTTGAATTGGGAAATTCGGGAATCTTATTACAGAAGCGCCCTCACATGTTTTGATGTGGAAATTTTGTTTGAAATATTTAAAACGGGCCTTTAATGTGTACAAATTTTAATGTTCATTTATTCTGTTTATTTTAGGATTGTTTAAAGGAGTGCCAGGAACAGATAGAACAGCTACTCAATAACAACCTATGTCCTGTTCCAACAAAGCATGAGAATGAGAAAGAAATTGAACAGCCAACAACCCCCACCGATGTCCAGGACGTTCATTTTTGAATACTGCAATCAACTAAACTGATCCGATTCGTAGAATGTTATAAGAATGCTACGTTGCTATGTACAATACGGTTCCTAAAACATCGTGATGTAAAGCTGTGTTCCAGAAATCTTCAAAACTGCAATGATCTAGTCATGTTACTTCATCTCACAGGACAGTCTTTGTAATCAACGAGAAAACTGACAATCAATCCAACTTTGCTGTTACTTTCGTGGAACACTGCCCTCTATGTGACTTTTTAGTTTTGTTGCCTAGTAACATCACTAAAATCTACACTGCTAACCAGTTTACTGTCTACTGCCCAATTCATGTGTACAATTTATTTGTATAAAACTGCCCAAATTTGTAAGTTAGAAAGAAAAAAAACTGCCTGTTTTCCAGTCTTCATAATTTCTCTTTTGCATATCATCGTTAACTGCCAGTTGCTAATCAATATGCGAAAGAGAAACTGCCAATTTTTAGACGAATATTGTATTTTTATAACGTTTTTATCAAAATTTTGAACCAAATTATGTTTGTATGAATCCCCAGATTCATCTCTACTGAGATATTCATTCATTCGTTTGTTTTTGTTTAAAATTTTTTTTATCTTGCTATCACTATGGTAACCCACTGATACTCAGTTGCTGAAACTGATGGAGTCGTTTATTGTCACTAGAAATTTATTTTCATGGTTTTGAACGTAATTTTTACCGATTTGTTATGAATCAGTTTTGTTACCATAGCAACCATGAAAATGAAGTCTGCAGTTTGAATGATTTCACATTAGACAGCTGGGATTTATTTTAAATCTGCTTTTTTATCTCTAATTATATTCGATTATCCCTACTTTTATTGTGGAGTTGCATCAATGGAATTCCTGTCATACAAGATTTGGGAAATTTTCATGAATTTAAAAAAAAAATCATCTTCTAAAAAAAATTATACATTTAAATGTATTCATTGCACCAGCCAACTATTGTTTTAACAGTTTTGTGTGAACTTTGAACTTAGTGTTTGTTTGGTTGAATTGGGTTTTATTATTATATTCCGTCATGACATACGGAAAATGTTATTGCTTGTCTTATCTATTTATGAAAATAATGGAATATCCCACCTTCCCAGAATGCACTATCAAAATTAGTGAGGGAACTAAGGATTGTGGGACAATTACAATATTATTTACAATTATTGTATCGTTTGTTTGTTGGTTGGTTGATAATTTACTCTTGATTTCTCTTTTATACCTCATGTATGTATAAAATACAGTAAGTTAGATGAAGTCTTGTTACCTAGCAACTGTAGCCATATTGTTATTTACGTAATTTGTCCAGATAAATGTATTAGCAAACTTGCTTGAAAACTAAAGTTAAAATAAATTGTTCATGCGTGTTTGTAAACAAATTTTACCTCATACCGTACCAGAATGAGGCTATATTTTCTCAAAATTCCACTTTTTAAAATTCTATTTTAATATGCAAAAAGATTCAAATCTGGGATAAATTTACTTAAAAATTGTGGAAACATTTTGGGTGAATTTTGACATGAAATGTTTTTTTTTTTTTTTTTGAACTGTGAAAGTCAACTGTATATGCTGTACTTCTGTTGGTTGCCTGGGTAACAATTCATTTCCCCCCCACAATGCAACTACATCTTTACTTTCAAAATTATATATTTGAGATTTGATGATAATTATATACATTCATTGTGAGAAATTGCTGTTACCATGGTAATTGGTCAGCCATCTTGGTTGTGTTTGTAAATGGTGTGACTATAGTCAGTGGTCAAGTGGTGAAAGATTCATTGTATATATAATGATATTATGAAATAAAGCACATTTCATATGAAGAAGAAAGTTTGAGTTGTTTGAATATTTTTTGCAGTTAAAGGGCTCCCTTGGGTCTCCTCACCCATAAATCTGCCCCTCCAGTACCCCAGTTAATTGTATATACCCTAACTTCAAGATGCAGATTAATAGTTATCTGAAGGAGCATATACAATTACATTGGGGGGGCTGGAGGGTTAAGGAACTCTTTCAATTTTTCTTGCGTGTTACAGAATTATGTCTTATGTGAATTATGTGAATTATGTCTATTCGGTCTAATACTGAAAACGAAAGGAAATTCTGAACTTTTTGACTGAAATGTTGGGGGGAAAAATTTGACATGCCCACTCAGAGCATGTCGCATACGACTTATTTACCACTTCCGTGTCACTGAGAATGTTCTAGAACCGTACTGTGTCTGGGTGGAATATTCTATATTTTTTAGAAATGGTTGAATAGGTAATAGAACACTGTAGGAGGCAATAGAAGGTAATGGAACATTCTAGAAATTTGTAGTAAGTTCCAGACTCATGTATGCTGATGTAATGGTCTATTTATAGACAGTGGGGGTATATATAGGGGAGTTGTTCAGCACTGAGTTCAGATCGGAGATCTCGTTGAATTGTATTGGAGTTTAAGTATCTAGTTATTGGAGTAGTGGAGTTTTACCGCGTTATTGTACTTGATGTTTGCAGAGTATAATAATACCAGTACCAGTTGAAACCTCATCTGTTGGCTCCGTGTTCGTATGTTATCATCGCCGCCAGGAAAGTCTTTCTGTTACTGTTGCCATTTTGGTATTTGAACCATCACACCTGTACTAAACCAATTACGGTAATATTATGTTGCGTGTGACAGAGCATCATATTGTTGTATTCAACACAAGTTCTGTCATTGCCTGGAAATATAAACTGCTGGTGTGTTACAAACTAGTTTGAGTTTGGTGAACTTAAAATCCCAACAAAACATGTAACCTTTTCACCACCAGTTCTCATCACAAAATATTTTATAGTCTGCCCCTTTCTTCAAAAGATTGGGTCAAAAATAGTAAAAACTGAAAATTTTGTCTGTTGGCTCCAAACAAAATTAGGGCTCATTTCCAGAAATATGAGAAAGTCTGGTGGTGAAAAGGTTACTAGAGTTTTTGTATAAAAGACGCGATGTGATTCTTGTGGTCCCAACAACGATTTACATGTTATTGGTGGCGTACTACCGAATTTGCTGAGTATGCCACCAACGGCGTTAGTTGTAGTCGTACTATACTGTTGGCTGGTCCCCGCCTCTACGCACAAGCTCAAAGAGGCAGGTTACGCCATTAATAAAATATGAAATCTGATTGGTCGGGACATGGATTCTTCTAATTGGCTATTCAATAGTACTTCCGGGGCACTTGTTCAAACATGGCGGCAAATTTCAATTTGAAGTTGTCTACGAAAATTGCCCTATCAAAGAGGAATATTTGCCAAAAAGGAGGCACTCCATGGTCTGACTCAGCAGAATCTAGGAACGCACCTTTCGCGGCTTCATTGGGGAGCCCGACGTACAGTCCCTCATTTTAAAAGTGCAAAATAAAGTAATAAATACTCACACGTATCAGCAGTGTGGTACTATGTAGCACTTTTTTTTTAATGTTACATGTACAGCCAAAACAAAGTCAGCTTGGACGTTCAGTTGCGAGACATGACAAAATAAACGCAGCGAGTGCTACATTTCGAAAATAAAAATACAAAACAAACGCGCCGGCCACGCGCGTTGCAAATAAATAGAACGCGTTGTGAAACCAGCCACTCACGCAATATAATTATGCTCTTTTAAAACGCATTGTACATGTGGGAAATCGATGAGTGAACTCGAGCAAAATTATGCTAGTGCGAGAATTCGCTATATACCCAGCGGAGTACTTGCTAAAACATAGAGAAAATTTGTCATTTCAAAGGGCACCCCTTACAAATAATTTTGTGAACATGACGTGCAAACAAGGATATAGCAAATTATCTTTTTTTCTGTAATATTCGTGTGTAATCAGTAATTATGAAAATAATTTATGGGTGCAATGAATTTTTCTTAATGTACATTTCTGATTTATCTTGTCAAAATCTTTTTTTTTTTTTCAGTTTTTTTTTCTCCCAAAAATCGAAATAATTTCACAATGTCAAGAACCAAAAGTAGTGTTCAACATTGTAAAATGTTGACTTCATGACACAGCAAACTCATGACTGACCGGAGCCGTTGTCTTTGTTGAAAATTTGCCAATTCACCATAATTGTGGTTGTGAACTGTTTCACTGATTTTCCAAAAGATCATATGGATACTCAGTATTTAATTCATATTCACCCCAACCATAGACCTTAATAGATATTTGAAGGTTTATGCCCCAACTAGTATTCGAATATTTTTTTGGAAATGTGAGACATTGTTCAAAAATCCTGGACAAGGATATGTCTGATAACAATTAATAATACGCAATTCTCCATGCAGTACTAGAAATTATTGTTGATACTAATCACGTTTTTATCGGAAAGTTACTCGCACGTGTAGTAGACGAACATAATAGTACTGTCGCATGTCCTTCGTCTTAGCCACATAACCGCCGCAGTTCGCTTCATGTATGTAACATCGATTATTTAGTTTGATGATTGATAAACTTGTATTCACCGTTGCTTTCATGTTACGTTAATACGAACATGATTTAAACTTGTCTCTTCCGGTGTTTTTTTCTTAGCCGAAATATACAGAAATAGCACGTGCGTGTGCGTTTTCGTGAGTAAAAGAGGCAGGTGAGACTCCTTGCCGCAATGCGTTCTATTCATTTCCAGCGCGCGTGGTCGGCGTCTTTGATTGCGTTTATTTTGTTGTTTTATTCTCGAAATGTATCACTGGCTGTGTTTATTTTGTCATGTCTCACAACTGAACGTCCAAGCTGACTTTGTTTTGGCTGTATAATCACCGCATGGACGTACGTGCAGTCGAGCGTCTGCTTCAGGATCACCTGATCTCATGTCAAAACACATGCGCATTTAGGAACTTCCGGAATCGCATGTTTATGCTCATTGCAAAATGGCGGGTTGTCAGTATCTGTGGTCAATCACGCCCAGCCGGATCACGTGATCTGACGCACAGTTCAGCGAAACTATACTGCTCGTTTTCCGTATCCCAGATTCAATGATTGTAGGACTAATTTGCATAGTTGCACGTGTTTGCGTATGACAACGAATATAGAATATCCCCATACTATTTCAACTACGCGTTGATATGCATTCAGTCGGTTTGAATACCACGCACGGAAACTACGAATAATTCGTTTTCACAAAATATAATCAAAAAATGCCTAAAAACAACAATTTAAAGCGCGGTGGTCGTCGCGCAGCGCGTGTTCGAATTTCAAGTAAATAAACAATGTATTTTACACGCGTTGTATACGTCGCTATGAGTCATATGTCGAACAGGGCGCGGCACGACAATTGCCGCCATTTAAATCCTCCGTGTTTTCAGCATGATTCCAAGAAGATGACAATGTCAGTACCGTCGCCCGCATTACCGATGCGACAACTATGATTACACTCATCGTACGATCATAAATAAAATGTCCACGGTTATAATATGAAAACAGTGTACGCTGGTTTCAGAAATACGAACCAGTGTATTTGTCAATTCTAATTAATATTAATGAGTTAGTTCAACATTTTCCAAACAGCAAGCGCATCATTTTGAATAAGTGGGCGGACACGTTGCTGTTTTCCATGACGACGGACGAGGCGCATATTGTTACACAAACTAATATTAGACCTTAGAATTGACAAAACCACGCGTTGATTCACGTAGAATTAGTACAGAAACTCTGTGTACAAACAGATGTAATATTCAACATAAATAAAATGATTACATGTGAGAAGCAATTTGGATAATATTTGTTAGCTTGTTCAAAGATATTGTTTGTTACTGTATCTGTATAAAAACACTAGGATACAATTTGTCGTACCAAAAGCACAAGTTAATGAAAACGCTTGCGCTTCAAATTATCTGTAAATCATCCGGGCGCATGTGTACTAGCAACTTCACTATTATGAATACTTCTATGTTTATTGTCAGAACAGCACTGAGTAACATAGTTATAATATAGTTATTGCGCCCTCAGGCGCGATTATTTTCGCTTGGAATTTATTTTCGCTATTTTCGCTGAAGGGATGATTCCGTGAAAATAAAATCCAGCGAATATACTTTTTGTTCTATATTTTACATTAAACTTATCAAAAATCAGTGAAAATAAATTCCATACAAAATGCCCAAAAAGCCTTTTCAATGAAAATTATTTCCAGCGAAAATAAAGTAGTTTGTGTCCACCTGAGCCGTTGTCGGCGAGGGCGCAATAACTATCGCTGACCATGTGTGGCTACAGTATAAACACACATGCATTCAACATTTTTAAAACGCTCCTCGTGAAATCACGCCCAATGACGTTCCGTTAAACTTACTGTGTGTGGAGAAATTAAAACATACTGAAAGGAAATTTGATTTGTTATGTCATTCTTAGCAAATGATATGGCACCAACACATGAAATATTGGGTATTTTGGCCAGAATCAAACGTTCGAAATACCAGAAATTCTATGGTTAGTCATATTTCCGAGAGTTGCCATATAAATTGTAGTTTTCTCTTATCGGGTATTTCCGGTAGTTCTTATTTACGTTACGATATCCGGGTACTCGGGAATGACTGACAGTTTTCATATAAGTTGTGGTCTTTTGTACTCGGGTACTCCAGGCAGTTGTCGTATCAGATATGTACGTTTGTGGTTTATATTTCTCTCATTTACAACAAATTCCGACCAACTTGACATCCTGGCAGCTAAAAAGATCTCGGACCCTGCAAATAATCCACACGTGTGTTAATGTCACTTAGAATCTATGCGACGTTGTACTCGCTATGCTAATCCACTGGCGCCTAGATACGACGCTAGTAATACATATTATGGGATGTCTCGAGAAATAAAATACTCTGTGTTCATTGGCCAGTTTGAATTTGAATGGTACACGCGGGGAGGTATATAACCACGTGATTTTAGATGATTGTGACAATGTATCGTAGCAAAGACTATAGTCTTTGATAGTAGGGAGGCAAATAGTGGGATGGCTTTCAAGTGAGAGGAATGTCGCATATAATCTAGTCTAATTATAGTCTTCTAGTCTATTGCTATTTAAAAAAACGATAATTAATCAGCGGGAATGACTTATAACTTACTGTAACATATTTCTTGCTCCACCAGTGACTTGAAATAGTAATCTTTCATAATACCCGTGTTGTCTTTATTCACAGGGAGGTCCCTCAATGAGAACACCTTCTCACTTGGTAATACTTTAGAAAAATGGTCCAATATTGACTGATGGATAACGTAAAATTAATACAACGTAATTTTATTTGTTTATTTGATTATGTTATATTTTCAATGTACGCAAATATGTAATGCGTATATACAATGAATATATTAATAAGTCATAAAACAACAATTGCGTTAAACTTGTTCTTAAATGCATGACAATAGCAACACATGTTGTTCTGTGTATCTTACCATGTTGTAGACTGACAGACTGACAGACAGATGGTAACTGTATTGTTTTCCAATGGAAGGATTGGTTTAACATTAGTTAGCTGGGAAGTGGTGTTTATATATTAAGAAAAATCATAATATCAAATTTGTTTAAAATGAAAAGTTATTGGGTGCGATATGTGCTGTTACAACTTGCCATTAATATTTACTTGACAAAATACAAATATTAACAGCCACAATTTGTTGATTACCAAAACGCCACATCATTTAGGCGAACAACTATCATGGCTTTGGCTAAACATTTTCTACTTGCAATTGGTAATCCGTTGAAAGTGTTATTTATTGACCAAATTGTTGGCAGCGTCACGGGTGGTGCCCATTATTACCCTGATCAGTTAAAATTATTTGTAAAACCTGGTCAGCTGTCGTACCCTGACGCATATTATAGGTCAATACAAGATTTCCACTTACACCTGTGAAGGCTGTGGATATAAAGTCACTTGACCCATAGAGTGATAACCATTGTACCATGTTGTATCCCGTATAATTATGTTATTGTGTAGAGAAAATGGAATTCTTTCTTACCAAAGACCATTCAGGGCAGCTGATATATAAGCAGGATATATTTCTTTGTTTCATTAATTTTGCCACTGCCTGGGTGATGTTTGGTACAACTTCAGACAACTGTGATTTAACTTTATTGCACTTGTTTGCGTCACGTTGAAAATAACATCTAAAACAAAAACATAATATAACGTGTACGTTACAAGCACTTCGCATTTTATTTTTTAACTAATAACTTGCACGTTACAAGCACTTCGCATTTTATTTTTTTAACTAATAACTTGCACGTTACAAGCATTTCGCATTTTATTTTGAACTAATAACTTGCACGTTACAAGCACTTCGCATTATATTTTTTAATTAATAACTTGCACGTTACAAGCACTTCGCATTTTATTTGTTTAACTAATAATTTGTACGTTACAAGCACTTCGCATTTTATTTTTAACTAATAACTTGCACGTTACAAGCACTTCGCATTTTATTTTTAACTAATAACTTGCACGTTACAAGCACTTCGCATTTTATTTTTTAACTAATAATTTGTATGTTACAAGCACTTCGCATTTTATTTACTAATAACTTGCACGTTACAAGCACTTCGCATTTTATTTTTTAACTAATAATTTGTATGTTACAAGCACTTCGCATTTTATTTACTAATAACCTGCACGTTACAAGCACTTCGCATTTTATTTTTTTAACTAATAACCTGCACGTTACAAGCACTTCGCATTTTATTTTATTTACTAATAACTTGCACGTTACAAGCACTTCGCATTTCATTTTTTAACTAATAACCTGCACGTTACAAGCACTTCGCATTTTATTTTTTAACTAATAACCTGCACGTTACAAGCACTTCGCATTTTATTTTTTAACTAATAACCTGCACGTTACAAGCACTTCGCATTTTATTTTTTAACTAATAACCTGCACGTTACAAGCACTTCGCATTTTATTTTTTAACTAATAACTTGCACGTTACAAGCACTTCGCATTTTATTTTTTACCTAATAATTTGTATCTTACAAGCACTTCGCATTTTATTTTTTACCTAATAATTTGTATCTTACAAGCACTTCGCATTCATTTTATTTACCCATAACTTGTACGTTACAAGCACTTCGCATTTTATTTTTTAACTAATAACTTGCACGTTACAAGCACTTCGCATTTTATTTTATTTACTAATAACTTGCACGTTACAAGCACTTCGCATTTTATTTTTTAACGGCAGGAACGAGAACTCCAGGACAATGCCAACATAAAATCGCGCCCTCTGTCGGTATATAACGCATAGATTGTGTTTTTTCGACTCGTTGTATGTTTTGTTTTCGAATAATTCTTGCTGTTATCATAGATTACTTCAATATTTCACAGTTACCCATACGCAGTTGAGAGATTGGTCACGTAACAGCGCGCACTGGGAAGACGTCAGTTATCATTCTACCTTAATATCTGACCACCAATCTTCAACCTGTCACATGACTTATGGCTTCTAATGATATTTCGTGATTGCAATCACAACATGAACGTCATATGACTTTAGTGTGACTAAAAGTGTTAAAAACGGTATTTTCAGTAGTTAGAACAGTCAAAAACGACAGTAGCAAAATTGGTCGTCATGTAATCCCTTAGACAAACTTACAATAACGTGTTCGCCTATATCTACGCATTCAGGTGATATATAGGCTGTTAAAGTAAAATGCTTATTGACTTTTAGAGAATTTCTGAATCACACATATTTTTTTAGCTCGCGTTCCTCTGTTTTTACCTTAAATATGGGACTCTAACCATATATTTATATAGAATACCACATGAAAATACGCTATACACTGATAATCGTAATCTCCCAGCTGTGCATAATCCCAGTTTCGTATCAACAGATTGATCTATTATTGAATTGAAAGTTCAAATGCCATATAAACTGACACGTGCATATTAGTGTTTGGCGTTTTACTGTATTTACCCAATAAGTTAATTAGTCATGGCAATGTATTGATGCGATACATACGACATTTCTGCTTACGTGTTACGTCAGTGGAACGAGGCGATACTTAAGATATTTTTGTTGATTCACAATAATAATGCGCAGGCATTTATACGTCCAGATAACTGCCCATAAGCACTTTACATTATTATCCCTGGTCACTGGGTCTTATGAAACAATCCTTAAACTATCTCCAACAACCTGAGCAGCTCAAGCCGTATCAGAGCCAAGCACATACATATCAGTCTTTACCCTACCGTGATATCGAGTTACTCCTGGGTGGAGACAAGCACATGAGTAAAATGCCTTGCCCAAGAACACAAACAATTTTAAATCGGTGATATTCGACTCAACAATCCTCTGAATCTGAGTTCAAAATCCTTGCCATTATACCCTACCCGGCTAACGCATGGGACCGATACTTACGACTTGTTACGTTACTGTATTGAGAGAAGCGATACTTGCAGTATTCTTTATTACGCCCATATATTTGTCCAATATTACTTGCTGAATACGCCACTGTACTACAGTTGATACGACAACGTATTATTCAATATTACTTGTTACGCCAACGTATTGGTCCGATGCGCCACTGTATTGATGCGATACTTACAACCTAACTTTCGCCTTGCTACGATAACGTACTAGTTTGATATTACTTATTACGCCCACGTATTGGTCCGATACTACTTGTTTAATACGCCACTGTATTGGAGTGATACTTACAACCTAACTTTCGCTTTGTTACGATATCGTACTAGTTCGATATTACTTATTACGCCCACGTATTGGTCCGATACTACTTGTTTAATACGCCACTGTATTGGAGTGATACTTACAACCTAACTTTCGCTTTGTTACGATAACGTACTAGTTCGATATTACTTGTTACGCGAACGTCACTGTATTGATGCGATACTCACGGTATTACGTTTGACTTGTTACACTAACATATTGATTCGATATTACTTGTTACACCAAATTATTGATGCGATATCACTTATTACGTTAACGTAATGGTCTGATACTCCACAGTAATGGTCAGATATTACTTGTTACGCCAACGTAATGGTTCTCTACGCCATAGTATTGATGCGATACTCACGGTATTACGTTTGACTTGTTACACTAACATATTGATCCGATATTATTTGTTACGCCAACGTAATGGTTCTCTACGCCATAGTATTGATGCGATACTTACGGCATTAATTCTGACTGTTACGCAAACGTATTGGTCCGATATTATTGTACACGCTAATGTATTAGCGCTATATACTTACGGCATTTCTGCTGATTTGTTACGCCAATGCATCGCCAGGTAAGGCTTGCCACCACAGAAACCAGTTAAAAGACGGTCAGTGACATTTCTCACATTAGCGGACCTTCTCAAGTGTGTTCTTACTTTATCCAACATTTCTTCCGTGTTATTTACTTGAAGTCGTGATCTTGATGATTGATATATTCCAAGACACGGTGCATGGTTCACAATCTCTTCTAGTCTATGAATATCGACTTTTTTCATCATGATGACGTCATCATTGTCCGGAAGTCTAATCTCTAATTCTGAATCAAATAACTTCTCTTTTGATCGTTGATATGCCGACAAATTCCACGTTACTACTTTAGTCTCCTTTGAAGTACATTTCTCCCTGAATTCATCAACTGTTGCTAATGGTAACAGCTCGTTCAAGATTTTCACATCAAATGTGTCATTGAATTGTCTCATATGTTCAGTGCTGTATCCACGAACATGTCCTCCATGAAGAAAAAATGGTGTCATCACCAGAGTACGATTTGACAATAGAGCCATAACTATCACTTTCTCCATCGCCAAGTACTGGTTGTTCTGGCCGCCGGAATCACTTCGTTGTATCCCAAGCAGGAACGGCGCTGTGATATTAGCTACATTGGTAATCGACTGCCCCCTCACTCTGGTTGAGTATGACCCATTCAACGCTGTATTTTCAACCTTTTTTGTTTTCTTAGTATGTCCAATTAATGTTGGTGATTTATTCATCGAAACCATATTCAGTTCTACGTTGTACTTTTTATGCTGAAATCAATGTTCACAGGTTTAGTACAGAGCTGTGTTGGTGGTGGTCACGTGGGGGAGGGGTATTCATCCAGTTTGTCAGACAGGGTAGAACAATATTGTCGCTAGGGTAGGACAAAACTAACGCTTTGTTATAATTGAACAAGAAGTGAATAATTTGTATGAAAGGAAGAGAATGTCACGAAATCAAATACAAGTATTCAACTTGAAAATGGTAATGTAACTATCCACCCACATAAAAATGGTGCCGGCCAAAGTGAATGCAAACGTAATAGGCTGAACGCTGCTACCAAAATTTTACCTTGTTGCACACTCCCGGTTTTGACAAAAGCTATCGATATTGTTATACCTTCTCTGCAATTTTACCTGAAAACTGTCGACAAAGAAATTTCTTACGTGAAATTTAAAGAGATTATTTTGCAGAATTTGGTTTTAAAGAGAAACCGACAAACCTATCTTAATCCATGTCAGGTGGAAATGAACGAATTAATTTACTGAATTTACTGTGTGAACTTTTAACAAAAATACGACCGTCAAAAACCGAACACCGAACTAAATTGCGAACCAATCACTAAATTCTCATATGAAACAAAAATAAAATTGATATTGTGGTATGTACAAATTTTTCATTAAGATCAAAAACCGAATCTCTTAAATCACGTGATCACAGTTATATTATGCTGATAACATATCTGTTGACTACTGGCAATGTTTTAACACCAGATTTTAATCTTGCGGTAACACGGTGATGTTCTGAAAAATTATGCCTTGATAAAACCAATGAACGGTTGTCAGGGAGAACGCCACATTAAAACTCATTAATGACAAATATGTAAATGAAGAAGGTTCAGTTCAGTCTGTATCTCATTCGTCGATGTATTTAAAAGTCAAGAATTACATTCTCCGAGTGTACACATTGACAAGTAATGGAAAAAGAGATATTACAATGTTGTGTCGTTGGTGGCGCTGTTTCCATGTCTACGCAGACAGCAGAACTAGTTTTTCTAAAGAGATCACCTGACGAGCACAATGACCAAAAAAGTACCGAACTAAAGCTTGGTAACCTCTCAGCTTGTACTCCTTGATCTGCACAACAGTCAAAATCGCCATCTTATGAGACCCATATCTTGCGCATGCATAGCGCGACGACCACCACCCTTTAAGTTTCTTATATATCTAAAACTTGTTTTTCATTCAATTCAATTAAAAAAAATCATAGGAATAATACAGTGTGTCAAATTTTTAAAAAAGCCTTTGAAAATGGTCGGACGCAAGCAATGAATAGATTTGTTTAGTGAAATGCAAACGCCGTCCGGTGCCAGGCATCAGTTACGAAATTTGTCGAGATTTTCTGTGATGATATTCCAATATTTTATGCAACCACCCAGTAAGCCAAAACTCTAATGCATTCTACTGACAAACACTAGTAATACCGACCAGAAACCTAATAATATATTTCTATGGTATCCCACGCAGTTTGATCACATGGGGGTCAATAAACTCACTTTTTAGACATCCACTACACGAAGCCTTTTTTGCAGATTATTTTTATCCTATAACGATCTATAACGTTTTCGACTCCAAAATCGATTGGTTTTTATTGCATTTTCAACGAGTTCGCCTGTTTGTTCTTCCATTGACGTAGGGAAATTTGGACAATTGCGAATAGAAAAACATGCAAGTCTGGTGTTGTACAATGTGTCACGTGTCAACGCGTTTTATTTTATTTTATTTTTCTTTCGGATGTCGATGCTTTCATTTCGGGTTCACAGCGTTTTACCAATAAAGCGTAAATAAAATATAAAACATGGCAACATTATAATGCGTCGATCGATGGATAAAGAAAATCCTGAACACGGTGAAACATCACGTTTTCCTTCTATCGTCACAATTGAAGTAAAATGAAAAAAAAAAAGATCGTGCGATTACCACGGATTAGTAAATATGGATTTATATTTGCATGCTAACAAATATCGAATTTTTTTAGTTAGAAAAGTGTATTAATATTGCATTAACATACAATAACCCACTCTCATTATCTCTATATATATGATATTTTTAATAATATTTTAAACTTATAATTGTTATATATCAGTGTTATCTACGGATACAGTAGGCAGTAGAATGAGGTAATTTTTAGCCACGGCGTCTAATTTAGCATGTAATTAAGGAATAACCACCCCAGGAACCAGTATGCCACTATATTGTGATCAATTGCACAACACACTGAGTACACACAAGCAATATGCATAATTAAAACAGTCTGGCCAATCAGAACAGCGTATAAAGGTATGCTACTCTTTAGCGCATCAAGAGGTGACTATTTCGTGTCAAAATCTGTCTACACTTAATCGCATTAGTCATCAGAACGTGAAGTTTTCTTCATCTCATTGTCATTTTTTGTTGTTGTGAAAAATGGTGAAAATAATGTGCATGAAATGCCATTCAGCAGTCACGGTGTTTCCTTAGACCACATTCAAAGCATTTCCTCGTAAAAACACACTAAAATATTAGCAATTTTTATTTCAAGACATCAAAAGGAACATTATAAGACAATGTATATCTTTTTTTCACCACATGTCACCAAGATATTAAGATATATCGCTGCCACAGGAAACAACAGTAAATGCCCTAAACAAACAAAGCATGTTATTTCACTATATTTTATTGATCGATTTTCTT